GTTTTTCACTCATTTTGGGTAATCACAATGGAAATTTGACGAGTGGGTTGCCGTATTGTGAACTTTAGGCCACGGCCACTGCGACGAACGCACCACGCCCCGTCTTCCCCCGACCCCGCCCGGAAAGTTCGCATGGCTGGAGCTGTTATTAGAGTTTTGCTGCTCCGTGTGTGAATTAATCTCTGGCATTTAAAAATTCTTCTCTAGAGCAGAGAAGGTCATGAGGCCCTGCTAATAAAATCTATCAAATGGGATTGGCAGGCAAGATCATGGTGGGTGGGGGATGAGGGGGGGATATGAAAAGTTGGGAGGCGAGAAAGTTTGTGTTAAATAATCCCTGTGTGTCCAAACCTTAAAGGACGAAAGCAGACAAAGCAGACGTTTTTATTGTATCTTAACAATGACTGGGACTGAAGAGAAACGCGGGGTGTGCGACAGGTGGCACAGGGGGTTCAAATCACTTCAGGGATCAATATCACATGCGGCTGAACTCAAGGGAGGAGTAACTCACTTATCTTCCTTTAGGAGCTTCCTGGAAAAAGGTGCCTCTGAGGCCAAGCCCATGTGCTCCAGGAGCACGAGGCCAGTGCGTCTCCTGGGCAGCAGCCTTCCCGTCCCCGCGTTCCTGCCGCTGTGTGCCTGCACCCGGGCCGACCCTGCATTATTTATAAGTTCTCTTTGCGAGTGATGGTCTAACACGCCACACGCCCCGCTAATGGCAGGGGGAGCCGCACCAGCTCTCCTGGCGTTCCCATACCTTCTCGAGAGGAGCCTTACTGAAGTCAAGATAAATGACATCTCATTTCGCCTGATGGATCAAGCCTGCCACGCGGTACAGGGACAGCGACAATGAGTCTGGCTGGACTGCAGCTTCACTCTTCCCAAGGCCAGTACTTCCTGATCCTCCGTGATTGACTCCTGATGGACTCCAGAATTATGTTTATATACATTCCAGTAATTTCCCAAATTAGGCTGACAATTAATCTTATGAGTTATTTTTTTCTCCTTAATATACAAGCATTTTAATTATTCCCTTTTCAGCTCCAAGGGCCAACTCAGCCCCCAGGCTTTCTCAGCAATGGCCGCTAACAGCACTGGGACACGCGAGGTGCTGGGAAGGGTCCCCGGTGGCGGATCCACGTGTTCGGCTGTTGGCCGAGCAGACCCGCCGAGCTGAGGGCTGAGGCCGAGGGGTCCGGAGGGGCTGCGGGTTTGCAGTTTCTGCTAATTCCAATGTGCGCGATTATGAAGGATCATGAGATGCTCTTCATGCAGCAGCCATGAGACAGGTTGTCCCACAACTTTATATCTAGAAAGCATAAATACATCCTCTGGGTTTGACTCCCCAGCAGGAGTCACCATACAAAGTGGGGCCGAAACTGCTAGCTGCCCTCCACTTTCCCCTCCCCCTTCCTTCCTTCATAATGGACAGAAATGCACCCAGCTGAAAGACCCTTTCCAGGCTCTCTGGCACAGAGACAGTCCATGAATTGTAAGCATACGTCTGTGGCAGATGGGACTTCTAAGAAAGCTCTTCAGAGGTGAGCACACTTGATTACTAGGCCACAAGGCACACCCCATGCCTTCCTCCTACTGGGATGTGGATGTGATAGCTGGCATCGCAGGAGTCAGCTTGTAACCATGAGGCAGATGCTAATGATGGCAAAGCAAAAGGAAGGAGCCTGACTCTCTGCTGACCATAAAGGTGCCACTATGACCCTGAGAGAGATAAAAACACACCTCCACCTCGGTTAAGCTACTGTTCTCTTGGGTCTGAGTCTAGCGGCTGGACTCCATTCCTAACCAAATCAGACAGCTACGCTTACTTCCCTGGTGCAGTCCCAGCAAAGCCCCTTCTCAGGGATGCCTTCCCACCAACGGCATACTCCTCAGGGCATCTCGGCTGGAAAGCCTTTACAGCACGTTAGTAATGCCTATCTCGTGGGCAAATGGGGAGTCACTGCCTGTGAATGAGGCCGGATTCTGTTCTAGTTCTTGATCTTGTCTCACAAATGTCAGTCTTTGCTCCCGAGCGAGGCTGCAAGCCCGCAGGTTTGACAACGAGACAGGTATCCCCTCCACTCTCGTTGCCCTGGCCCATCGCCCAACCTTGAGCACACAGTAGGTGCTCACATCAATTCCTGAATGTGTGCTCTCGATTTTACTATTAGCAGAGAGAATAACCCCAAATTTCTTTCTGTACAACTACCAGTACAGAAACATTCAAATACCGCAGTACATACTGGTCATTGTCACGGTGGAAGGAGGAATACAGACAACCACACGGGTGTTTGTACCACAGCTCAGCGTTTTCAAAGCCTTTTCACGTGCGTTGCCTTGTTTTTGCTTCACAACTGCCCTTAAAGCAGTCAGGGCAGGTAGACACGTCACAGCTTTACAAATGAAAACAGCAGAGGCTCAAAAAAGTTACTGTGTTTCTCGAAGGCAGATAAGGAGTAAATAATAAGAATCAGGCCTTACAGACTCCAGAAAAGGGCCGTTTCTGGGGCCACGTGTACAGAAAGGGGTGTGTACGCGAGCCTGCGTGCGTGTGTATGCATGTGTGTGCGCAAGCTTGCGTGCGTGTGTATGCATGTGTGTGCGTTGTGCGCGTGCGTGTGCAGTGCGTGTGCCTGTGTGTGCGTGCCTGTGCGTGCGTGCCTGTGCGTGTGTGTGTGCATGTGCGTGTGTGCATGTGAGTATGCGTGCATGTGGTGCACGTGCCTGTGTGTGCACGTGCGTGTGCAGACATCTCACAAGCGCCCCAGCCTCATCTCCGTCTCCCTAAGTTACTCAAGGCCCCTCGATGGTGCCGTCTTCTTCCCAACGTCCCACCTTCTAGTCAGAGGCTCCTCACCCGGCTTACCAAGTCATTTGCTCCAGAGCCAGGCCAGCCGCACGTCCCCCCGCACTTGCCCCCATTCTTCCCGACCTTGTGTCTAAAGCTCTCTTGTGACTGTCCTGTCCTGGGCGGCAGCGCGGATTCAAGGACAGAGTTAACGTGCTTTGCTCCCTCTTGTTGGGCTGTGGGTGCCTGGAAGGCTCACAAGGAGCATGGACGATGAGCCCCGTGCGAGCGCGCCTGTGTCCCGCGTGAGCCCCGTGCGAGCGTGGGTCCCACTGACAGCAGAGGCTGTTGACGGCGCCCAGAAAACAGAGCTCTCGACTCAGAAGACCCAGCGTTAGCGCTGCTCCGCCGAGCGACCTTAGACCAGCTCAATTCGAGCAGAACGTGTCCTGTCCTATGCCATAAACTGCAAGCAAGCTGAGGGAGGGGCCGGCCCCGGTCCTACCGGACAGGTCGCTTGGGGGAGGGCCCGCGGGGCCCCTTGCAGTCTGGGTGGGGTTCCGGGGGCACTGCAGAGGGAAGGCGTGTGGAGCTGCTCTGAAAACCATGAAGCAGCACCCGAACACGCCCCTCGCGCCCCTCAGGCCAGCGCCAGAGACGGGGACTTCATCACTTCGCAGCCGCGCCATCGCTCTTTTGTCTCTGGAGCTGCCGCCTCCTCCTCAGCTCCCCTCCGCCTCGCCCGCACCCACCGACAGGCCCCTCTTCTAATGCGGCACTTTGATCACGTCACTCACAGCCCTCAACCTTCCACGGGTCCCCAGGGCAGACTCCACAGCCTCCCAGCCCTTCTCCATCCAGCGGAGCCTGCGGCAGCACAGGATGCAAACGCCCCGGTAACCCGAGGAAGCAGAGTCACAGGGAAGAGCCATGGGGATTACTAACAGCAACATCTGTCACGTTAAGTGTTTCCAAATTTATTGTTATTTTATGAAGTAGACTAATTAAAGCAAGCATGGACTGTGCAGGGTTTCAGCTACTTTCATTTTTCAGTGAGTGAGCAAGGATCACCAGCAGATAACTAGCCCCTTCCCGGTCGTCCTGCACGTTAAACATTTCTCCTGTTCACTGTGAACGCAGAGGTGACGGCGCTTAACTCATAAAGGGGGATTTATGGACTTACGGATGACAACAGACAGCCGATCGATAAGGGACGGTAATGACAGCATGTAGTATCAAGGAACATGAGGTCCCGGGCGTGATTTGGGGAGAGAAGTGGGCAGTTAGAAACCTTACCGTCTGAAAAAGGTCAAGGCCTGGTAGCAATAAAAACGCCTAAGCAAATAAAATCACACCTGTGAGTCAGGAGAGGGTAAAACTGCTGAACGAAAAAGCGTTTCAGATCCTGTGGGAAAACGGCTTCCCCGGGCAAGGCTCTGGGCTGCTCTGGGGCACACCTGGCTGTGTTGAGAGAGGGTCTATTTATTACCGCTAAGAGCTTTGAAAGCGAAATGCAGACACGGAGGAGGTTTCTGAGTGCCCAGCCCTTCCTGGCGCGGAGACCCGGATCCTCCAGAAAACCAGTGGAAATCACTGAAAACAATGGGGTTGGGTCTTAGCACATAAATGTAAGACCCACTGGCTTTATGACATTCTGCCTGGTCATTTTGGGGGGGTGGGTGTGGGGAAGAGTTTTGATCGATTTAGTAAATTGTTTGCTTGTGTAACTGAAAAAGTAAACCAAAGCGGGGGTGGGGGGGGGTGGAGAGCACCAAGCTGCAAATTCCATTACTAATAATTGTATTACACCATTAAAAGCAAAATACTAAATACTCATCCTCTTTGAAAAACATTCACAGTTTCACACAGGACTCCACGGCCAGCTTCACTGCAAAATATACTGTTATTCCATTTAGGAAAAGCCAATCCCACGGACCTTTTACAGAATAAGTGGACTAGTTAAAGGATGTGTGTAGATACACCCTGTCCTTAGTAACCAGAAAGCAGCAGTTAGAATCGTATCTGTTTCCCTTCTGTGGTTTTGCTATAGTTTTGGAATAGACAGAGAGGTGAAGTTAAATACGTGCTCACTCTCCTCTAACCACTCCCTAGAGGACTGGACGCTCTCTTCATTCCAAACATGCCCCAGTTGAACTTTGCAAATCCTGCTCCCTAGCGACGATTCTGCAGCCTCGGGGGAAAGCAAGCTTACCTCCTTGTAAGGTGTACTCGGTCACCGCCCTGCTGAAGACGCCCAGGCCAGCCCCATTGTAGGCGGCCACCTGTATCTCATACTGCGTCCAGACGATGAGCTCCGTCACCAGGCAGTAGCTGACCTCGGGGCTGCTGATGTTCCTCTGCTGGTACTCTCCGGGCAGGCCAGCCAGGCGGTACCTGCGGCGGACCCAGGGGAGATACTTGAGCAAGGAACTGGCTTTACCTGAAGTCACTCCACACGGTCAGAGGAAAGCGGAAGTAAAAACAAGAGTAAAGCCAGAGGTCAGCGTCAGACGACACTGCTTCTACTTCAACCGCTAAAAAAGGTATAACCTAATCTCACAGTGATTATAAGCTCTGGGCCAACAGAACTGACATTCCAACTATGTTAGGGTTCAGGGAAGATGGTTGCTTTTTAAGTGCCAGTTGTCCAGGGAGTACAGTGACTTAAGGCCCAAAATTCCAGACATGATTTCTAGCGGGTGTGGCTATAAATCCGTCTGAGCGAGCCCTTCCTCCTGTGACTGCGATGAGGGAGGGAAGGAAGAGAGCAGTGCGCGGTCTCTCGGTGTCCCTGGGCTGAGCTCCCCGCTGGGTTTGCTCACCAAGTCCTGGAGTCAGAATGAGTGCTTTCCAAAGGCATTCACCCTCCTAAAATACTAGGCTGGCGCTAAGTGTGACAAATGGCTTTTTAGGGGACCTGTAAGATCGTGGTGTGTATGCTCTTCAGTGGACTAACGGCAGAGATTTAAAGTTGTATTTATTTAAAACAGCGACATATACACGGCTCTGGACACAGAAAACGTATTAGCTAGGACATTGCTACTTGTACAATGAAAGGGCTGCTGTAGTGTTGTTTTGAGTAGCGAGTGTTTTCCACGACTGCATGTGTAGAAGTGAATCAGTTGCCCTGGGTAAACCGAGGGGCATGTGCAGTGGGCGTAACTTCCTCAGTCATTGGGCAGCTTCCAAAAGCACGAATTTCTATCCAAGAGCTGGTTCTTGCCTCAGGAAGACGTGGCTCTGATGCTCAGTGGGGGAGGGAAGAGAGCACGAGCCCAGAGTGGCAGCAGGAGACCGTCCACTCTCCGCAGAGGGCCGGGGTCTCCAGGCCCCTCCCGGACACTGAGCAAGCCTGCGGAGTCCCGCTCAGTCATCTGCGCTGTCACCAGGGGCGGAGCGTCTGGACGCAGGCGGACCAGCAGGAGGAGCCCCGGAGTTCAGGCCTGGAATGGAAAACAGCCCTCCAAAGGGAACAATGGCTGAAAAGGCAGTCCATGAAAATCAGGATTTTCTGAGACTAGTCTTTTGTCCCTTCCCGCTACAGGCCACTTGTACGCGGTGAGGACTGTGGAGAGGAGGCAGAAATGCCGGAGAGCAGGCCAGCTGTGAAAAGCACAAAGGCCCAAGGCCTCCCCGACTCCCGCCTGAAAGGAGCAGCAGGATGCGGGCCCTGCAGGGCCCTGGCGACGGTCAGTGGCGCTCTGCGACGGGCCAAAAGGGAAGTTAGGGTATCAAACCCCATTTGTGCTTCATAGCCCATCAACTTCCGGTCCTACTCAGCTGACACTCCTTTTCTGAACTACCTGCACCAAGTGTAGGCGCCACTCACAGCACGTTAAGTTCATCCGTATAACGGGATGGTCTGTCTTCCAGGCAGGGGACAACAGGAGGAAGGCCTGGTGTGGAATAACCCGCGTACCAGATACTTCCCATCTACGAAACGTAAACTTTTAAAATAAATGGCACTGAGACAATTAGACAGCCATTTTGAAACAGGTAAATATTGGCTCCAGACCCCAGAGTAATGTGGCACGTGACTGGTGCCCAGGATCATGGGTAACCAACGTGGCACAAGCCGGGCACGGCTACTGAAGAGCTCACTCCACTCTCTGATACACATTCCAGGGAAAAGCAAAGCAATCAGCTCAGAAGACTTAGGCTGGGAAGAAGCCTTAGGAGCTGGGTGGCCTCAAGCAAATTCTTAACGTCCCTGAGCCTTTCTTCCCTCCTCCCTAAACGGACATAATAATGATGGCATCTCACAGGCTTGTTGTAAGAATAAAATGAAACAGTGGGTGCACAGGAGGTGTGACAGTGTAAAGCACCCCCTACACATTTCTCCTTTGGAAACACTGCTCTTGTAGGAAGCATCCTAAGAGAGAACGCTGAGCTATGAGAAACCAAGCGTGCTGCACACCTTCTCCCAGGCCCCTCTGTGTGAGGTTGTGTGTGACGCGCTGCAGACTCCACGTCTTGGAGACGGCAGCTCTCCCTTCGAGGCAGGCAGCTTGGTCCACTCTGACCGGCGGCTCAGGGTGCTTTTGTAACATTCATGGGATGTCTGGGAAGGTCATAATTAATAACAGAAGTGCAGGGCATCGTCCTCTGATTGGCCGGATACGTTGCCCAGGAGACCATCTCAGAGAGAACGAGATGATTTTTCACACAGAAATAAACAGGAGAATGTTTTTAAAGGACGTAACCCCTATGCTCCTCTCAAAGCAACACCCTGCCCATTATTATAAATATTTTATTGCTGTGAACACACTCTAACTAATTCTCATGGCCAGGGCGACAACAGTTATTTGTTTCCATTTTGTTCTTCCGTGGGCTGTGCTGTTTATCTGACACGGAGACTTGTGCCCCAGAGGGTCCACACTTGCAAACAGAGCTCATCTGCAGATGGGAGGATTATTCGGAAATGTTTCCAAGCAAAGTCATTTTGGCACGGGTCTTCAATTTCTGAAAACTTGGATATTCACAGGCCTTGGGTAGCGTACCCTCATCTTGGGGCTTTCTTGATTCAAGCCCCTGCAAACACAGATGCCCTCTTTTCCAGTGCTCGACTCGACGGATACCATCACAGAAAATCCTTTTAACAGTCGTAATCCCGCAAAATAGAAAAACGTGCAGTCCCCGATGGGGCCTTGTAACATCAGAGAGATTTCATTATTAAACTCCATGCCCCGGGTTCTGGTTCTGTGGGCTGACTTTTAAAGTCCTTACTTGGCAGCTGGAGCGCAAGGAAACTTCTCCCTCCATGTGCTCAAAAAAAGACAGAGGCGGCCTGGATGACAAGCACGGGAAGGAAGGGCTGGTCTGGGAGGGGAGGCCAATTATTTTCATTAGTTGATAAGCACGGAACAAGGGCGACAGCTGGGGTGAGCAGTGAGGGGCAGGAATGTGACAGAAAACCCCAGCCTCAAGCAGGGGGGAGCACCAGGCTGCTTTCCCCAGGGAGACGGGATTGTCTGGAAGCACCCACAGGCCCAGAGTCCACAGGCGCCCCCTGCCCGCAGGGGACAGATCCGCGGTGTCCCCTTTGAAACGGGGAAGGACGGCCAGGGGCGCGGAGACCGAGGGCGCCCTGAGTGCTATCAGTCCTCCAGCCCTCGTGCACCCCTGGGGAGGGCCGCACTTGAACCTCTTCAGGCAGATAATGATCTGGCTTGTGTTCAGAGGATACTTCATACGCTCGAGGAAAAACTCCAAAATAGCGGTGAAATGGTTGTGGCGGGTAAGTATTACAGGCATAAAGGTAAACACGTATGAAGCCACGAGTGGGCGACCGTGCGAATACGCAGCAACGAGCTCCCCATACGCAGATACGGAGTTAAAGAAGCAGCTCTCGTAATCTCTTACATTGATCCAAGAGACTGTATTTCTCCACTTAAGACCTTTGTTAACCCGGTATTTTCTGATCACGCTTTTAGAAAGGGCATGGGCTGGGCATCTGCATCTGGAGGACGGGAATGACGGACACCCATGGTCCCTGCCCCATAAGGCTGGTAACAGATACGGCCACAGCTGCACGGTCCGTTAGAAGAGGTTTAATAGTTATCCTTTTAATACTGCTTTACTGTTTTCTTTTTACTTGTGTCAACAAACCTCTCAAATGATCACTTTCGCTGCAATCTTAAAATTAGCAGTGGTTTTGGCAAAGCAGGTGCCTTCTGTCAACCCAGTCGGTGCTGGTACAGTTCACTCAATGTGCTCAGAAGCCTGACGCCCCTCCCCACGGGGGCAGAGACAGCAAACCGGCCACTCTTGGGCCACATCTGTTCTGCAGCTGTGAGGGTCTGGCCTGCCCTGTGTTTCAAAATACATTGATTTCATTCCCAATTTTTAAAAACGGTGAGAATGTGTGTAAAAAGCTGGATTTAAAAATTGCTTTGTAACAGTGGAAAACCTGGCAATTCTGAACAACACACTAGCATGGCAAAAACTGGCTTATAATTAAATCAACCGCATTATTACTAATTAAAAATTATTATACTTAATAATGCACGCCCCTGGTAAAAACTTAAGAGTGAAAGCATTTACAGTGAATAAGCACATCTTGCTCCCAACCCATAATATCTCCCCTCCATCCTTCTGCCAAAATGCGACCCCTGATAGCGTTTTCTTGCATGTGCGCATCACGGCTGACGGCAGAGACTGTCCGGTGAGGCTGCCCACGGGTGCCTGTTCTCATTGGTCTGCCGCCGTCTCCACCAGTCCCTAGAGTCTCGCTGCTGGCCTGAGTCTCTCGATGACTGTTGGGCTCCTACAGACATTTGAGTTTGCGACCTGAGCAAAACAGACACTTGACTCTCTATGAAGACAGTCTAAAAATGGCCGACCACTGGCTACTTGCCTGAGGATGTACCCACGCAGCACCCCGTTGTGCTCTGTTTCCGGGGGCGGCTGCCACTGGACCATGATGGACTGATTGGTGCGCCCACTGGCCACTATATTTTTCGGGGGAGCGCTGGGTGGCTCTTCAGGGAGCATCAACCTAAGAAAAAGAAGTCCGGGAGGGGAAGAGAAGTCAGCCCCGGAGGCGAAGGGTCCTCGCTCGCATTCTCTGCCTTGCTGAAGCTTGAGCCTAACTAGTTACTCACATCGAGCAACGAATACAGCAAAACGCACAGCTGATCAAACTGAAAGGACGTGCACGAAACAGTTACAAAAAACCAACGTAACAGAAAATCAGTTCAGCAAGCAACAAGAAAGGCGTGGGAGGCGACCTTCTGCTGCTTGAACGGCCCGTGGTACCTCCGCTCCTCGAAGGATCACAGGCGTGAGTGCGGCAGCTCACGGGCCGTAGTCCGAGGCTCCTTCCCGATTGTTTCCTTCGGCTCTTTCAATATTTCTCATATCAAACTCCCACATTTTGAAAAGAGTCATTTAGATCTCTCAACTCTTCTATAGCACAAGCCCACTGAGAGCTCAGGTGCGCTGGGGAGGGCACACTGAAACAGGACGAAGCCCGTTCCCCACGTCACATCTGAACAGGCTTGAAAGCAGCCGCCTGGCCTGGGGAGGTGGGGCTGGTGCCGGGGACAGCATCAGGACCACCAGGGAAACGCCAGAGCTCACTTGGCTTCCTGCCGACACCTGCTCAGTGTTTACCTGTCAAGACGGTGGCACCAGCTCCCGCCTTGCTGGCAGTCAGGTACACAAAGGGCGTGGAAACACCGCAAGCTCTTAATCTCACGTAAACCGAGGGCTGTGCGGTTGGGAATGGTTTATGTCGGCACAGCCAGAGCACCGCAGAAGCTAAGAAACTCCCCTTGGCAGGTAAGGCCCCCCTGGCGAGCCCGGCGAGCCACTGTGCCTCCTCTCTGCTTCCCCCAGTGTGACTAAGGGGTGGTGGCTGATGGCCTAACCCGATGTGTCCTGGGCTCCCTGTGCCTCTCCAAGGGTGCGTGTCACACACCTGCTCGTCTCTGCGCTGTACTGGCCCTTGCCCACTTGGTTCACGGCACACACCCTGAATTGATAGGTACGAGCCGGGGTCAGGCCACGCACGGTGACGCCTGTCATCTCGGGGCCAACGTGTGACAGATGCACTTTCCACGGAGAGTCTGAAAGAAGGAGCAAAACAAGGTCAAGCCTCTACAAGCACACGTCTGAATGACAGTAAGTGAATGCAAAGTGCGTTCCCACAGATTAGCTCATTTGCTTACCAAGGCAGGTGGAGTGGTTGGCTCCACTGAACAGATGGGCAAACCGAGGCTCACGGTCCCGTGGTGAGTAACCAGCGGGCCTGGCTTTGAACTCGGGTTTCCCACGCAGAGTCCAGTGTGCCTATTAACCCCATGCTGTTGTCAACAAGTAAAGGGATTTTTTGGTTCAACCTACAGACGGCAGTTTAAATGGAACCCAATATTCCTCATGCCTGTGTTCAATATGTGACGGGAAGAAGTTCTCTGTCAGCTCACATGGCAGACTGCAGATTTGTCTCCCAGAAAAGGATGCTGCACATGTCACCAAATGATAAATAAAACCTATAGTCATTAACATTTTAATAAAAGAGGAAATGAGCATGATAAAGACAGATGGGCTGTGCATTCTGCAACCCATCTGCGTGGCAACTCATTATACTGCCACACCCCTGAGCGGCTCTGGCTGGAGAGACATGGAATGAAATTCACAGCGAGTTTAGAATATCTGTGCTCCCAGCTTTCCGGCAGGCGTGGAAGAGGGACTCTGTCAGCCAAGCGGGCTCTTGCCTGCAAGGCTTCAGAAGGTTCTGTCGGCTCCTACACTTTAGTGGAAATTTCTCTATAGAGTTTAAACAGGCTTTTTGGCCCAATCGTTTCGTGCAGTGATGCCCTGGGATGAACAAGTGCCCCGTGTCAGTTCCGCTCAGAATTGCTATGACCCTGAACTACATTCTCAAGTTATCAGTGAAGTGAAATGTGGGTGCTGGGGACTGACCCGTAGGAAATCAAGCTGTCTTTCTTATTTCTTGGAAGTGGTGCTAAGCATTATGAACATAACAGCATTATTCATAACAGCCAAAAGGCGATGCAACCCAAGTGTCCATCGACAGGTGGATGGACAACCAGAATACGGTCCATCCATACAACGACCTATTATGCAGCCTTGAAAAGCACAGAAATTCCGACACACGCTCCAACGTGGATGGACCTCGAGGACATGACGCTGAGTGGAATAAGCCAGTCCTCGAAGGACAGATAATGTAGTATAATTCCACTTAAATGAGACACCTGGAGTACACCGGGGGCTGGGGGAGGGGGGACGGGAGTTAGTGTTCGATGCGGACAGAGTTTCAGTTTTGCGAGATGAAAAGACTTCTGGAAATGATGGTGGCGACGGCTGCACAACGGGGTGATTGTACTTAACGCTACCGAACTGGACACGCCGAAGCGGCTGAGATGGAAAATCTCATGCTATGTGTATTTTTACCACAATTAAAGAGTTTAAATGGTGGGAATTGCACATAACACGAGGGGGATAACACGTGACTCCTGAGACCGATGAGTGTGAAACAAGGGAAGGGCGCCGATGCGTCTGGTGTAGGCCCGGCTCCGGCAGAGACTCTGCCGGGCGCTCCTGTTTTCACCGCAGGCCCCCTCTCCACCCTGCCCACCCTGCCTGTGCCCTGGAGGGCCTGCCTGGCAGGGAGGGCTCTTCCCTACTCACTGGAGGTTGCCCCAGACTGTCTGCATGCTTCACCCAAAGGCCCCTGCTCTTCTCACGGCGCAGCCCTGCACAATCTCTGTCCCCGGCTCTGCGGCTCGCCTCACCCCTGTGACCACGGGTGATCCCGGCTCTGCCACTTCCCCTCCTAAACTCCCGCCTTGATTATTCTGAGTCACGAGTGCTGCCTGCTCCTGCGGGGGCCCTGCCACACGCGCTGAAGGAAACACGTCTTCCACCCCCCTCTTCCTGCAGATTACAGGGTCTGTAAGTGCACGCCGCTCACCTGCTCAGTCAGGTACAGAGTGAACCGCGGCAATTTCAGAAAGAGACAAAGTCAGGAGAACAGTGGTCGAGCCCGTGGACTGAAACGATTAATCGCACAGGGAAGGGGCAGAGAAGCGCCCCGGACGCCTCCTTCCCGCCCCAAGCACCCGCCCTCCCTCCCTCCCACCCAAACTCAGCCCCATGCGATTCCCTGACTCTCAGCCATTTGTTCACACAGAGTGTAAACAGCTCCTGAAAGTGTAGCCTGAGTAGTAGGAGCTGCTGCCCAGTTGGATTCGATGACGGGGCCTATTAATCTGCTCTAGACCCTGGGGCTCTGCTCAGTTCTCTGGTTGTATCGATAGGAATTTTTACTTATTCTTTTTCCTCTCCTACTAGAAGATAAAAGATCTGGCAGGAAGAGAGATTAAACTGAAAACTAAAATAAATGAACCCAATCATGTCATGGGCACTCTGATTTGTACCAAATTAAAAAAAAAAAAAAGTGGTCTAGGAAGGACTTGCTCACTAACAGACTTTGGAATTGCAGACTTGCTGAGAAGCGTTAAAATTTAAATAGCGAGTCTGCTCCTGACAGTCAACAGGCAAAATCCCTCTAAGAGATTCTTCTTCCAGCCCTCGCAAAAGAGTATGACAAGATGCTTGTCTCAGGGCTGGAAGGTAGAAGAATCTTTTGGTAAAGGAACCCATCCCATAAAAGTTTCAATAGCTTTTTTGCACCCCTTCGGGGATGCCCCTTGCTCCTCTAATCTAGAAGACTAAGGGATTTCAGTCTTCCCCGGCCAGGCTATTAAACAAACCTCTGCTCCACAGACAGGCATCACTAATCTTTCTCTTGGCTTCAGGCACCCAGACACCGCGAGGTGTTAATCACTCCTCCACTCTGTCTGTTGGTTAAAAAGCTGGTGCCTTTCCATCTTCCCAAATGTACTGGAAGCTTTTTTCGATTAAAAAAAAAAAAAAAGAGCATCACCATTTTCTTAATTAAAGGTACTTGAGGAAGGAGAATACTTTTTTTTTTTTTTTTTGCGGTACGCGGGCCTCTCACTGTTGTGGCCTCTCCCGTTGCGGAGCACAGGCTCCGGACGCGCAGGCCCAGCGGCCATGGCTCACGGGCCCAGCCGCTCCGCAGCATGTGGGATCCTCCCGGACCGGGGCACGAACTCATGTCCCCTGCATCCGCAGGCGGACTCTCAACCACTGCGCCACCAGGGAAGCCCGAGAATACTTTTCAAAGAAAATTTTCTTAATTGCCAAAAGAACCATTATTATTATGAATACCTAACATTTGTGCAGCTGTTTGAAGTCTGAAGTACTTTCACATCTGTAACCACAGGAGTCCTCTTGGGAAGGAGGTATTATCTCTCCTCTTAACAGATGGAGAAATCAAGACTCAGGAGGTTTAAATAACTCCTCCCAAGCCTTACGGGCTGTCACCGCCTAGGCTCCTGGATGGTCCAACATCACTGAGAACAGAGCAGCCGGGCCTCCAGCGTTGCCCTGCGAGACGAGGTACGGCGTACCCAGAAGCACCCGGGCAGTGCTGACACTCACACACCCCCCAAGAAAGCACAGAAAACCAAAAGCTGAATGTGTCTGGGCAATGAAGAAGATGCAGGAACCAGTTAAGTGACACCAGGAGGAAGCGGAGAGCCAAATCCCGGACTTGGGACATTCAGCAGGCAAGCGCCCTGGGCTGTACCCCAGGCGAGAGCGGGTAGGAAGGCAGGCGGGGCTCAAAGCAGGGCGAGTCGGTTAGGAGACGGAAGAGACAAAACCACCAACACAACAGATGGACCTTGTCTGGATCCTGATTCCAGCAAATCAACTGTGAAAAGACGTTTTTAGAAAAACGATGAGGGACACTTAAATGTGGACTGAGTATAAGATGATATTAAAGATTCCATTAATTTTGTCATAGGTATACAACGTCCTCTTTCGAGCTATTTACTGAATTACTTAAGGATGAAATGACAAAATCTCTGGGATTTCTTTTAAAATACTTTAGCAAAAAAGGTGGGGAGCTAATGAAACAACTGTGGTAAAATATTAATGGTTTTTGAAACCAAATACAAGAACACTCTGTACCTTTGTGCGTATTTAGTACTTCTCCTAACAAAAAGTTTTTAGAAATGACTCTTGTCACTACATTGCCAGCAGTGAGCATTGTAACTGCTTAAATTGTACATTTGATAGCTGAAAATATATGATTTCACTGACGCTGTACCTTGTATTGTTTTACGTGGATGAGAATGAACATTCTTTCATTAAAATAACTTCCCCCAGGTTACAGCGTGAGTTAAGTGGAAAATTAAGATGCAAATTTATTTTTTTAATTGTAATTCCACTGCTGATTTGGCTACAACTGTCTACATACTGTGTCTCCTGAAATATAAATATCGTAAGTATTATAATAGTAATGGCTACCCATGAGATAAACTCCATTCGAATGCATTTAATTCACTGTTGGATCCTCAGTACCTAGAAGAGTGCGTGACCCACTGTAGGAACTGGATTCCTCCCTGTTCTGGGGAAGCACCTGCTGTGCCCCAGGCACTGGCGATGCCTTCATCGGGGCGCATCCAACCTCCACAGTTACCTGCGGCAGGTACGAGCTTCCCCATTCACACCCGAGAAACGGAGGCATGGACTATGGCCTGATCTTTCCACCTCGTGGAGACTCCCGGATAAGCCCGATGTTGTTCTTTTGACTTCTTGTAGCTGCTTAGCATTACAGCAAGGAAGCCGAGGGCTCGGTCACAGAGATGATTCAGAAGAGGAGCTATTCTCTCGGACCGTCGCCTTCGAGGGTCCAGCACGGTCACGCTGATCAGACACTCTCCTTTCCCGTCCCGGGCTGGCTGTGTAGACGCTGAATGCAAGTGCTCTGGGCTTCTGAGGCCGACAGTGCCCACTCAGGACAGGGGCCACAGAGAAGGCGACCGTAGGACAAACTCCGTCACAGCCCCCGACATTTCCAAAGCCTGACCCACATGAACAGCAGCTAGCTGAGAACAGGCGCCTGGGGGGGGGGGGGAACGTGAGGACAGGGCGCTTTGCCTCCGTGGGCTCCTCCCCCAGAGCC